TGATATTTTATACCTCAACAACTGAATAGTGAATACTGATATTTATTCCTCGACAACTTTACTTGTCTTAAATATCTAGAAAAGTCAATGTTATCTAAATAATGGGTCTCCACTTGTAAATAATAATTACTAAGTCAATGCTTCTCTTAACCATGGTTAGAACTTAGAACAATAATCACGTACGAGATGGAAGACATGATTTGTTTGTTCAGGAACATGTAGACATAACTATTAGTACTATATTTTCATTAAACAAATGTGAGAAAATTGCTGGCATTATTGCAATTTACAGCTCATAACATTTATATATTGAAAAATAATGTAGAGTTCACAAGTCTTTTTTATCTTTCCTTATCTCACAGGTCTTTCTTTATTGCACTCACCAAAGTCTTCTCTGAAATGAAGAAAGAGTCTATAATTATTTGTTTTATTCATTCAGAATTATCTTCCACATGCTCCATTCAATAAAAATTAATATGATCAGCTACCATAAGAATTAGTGCGGTTGGGATTTAAGCGTTATTTACAGTCTTAATGTTTTTAAAGTATTATTATAGCTTTAATTCTTTAATTTTTAAACCTACATCTTTTTTTACCAATTATGTTTTTGCTTTAATTTTCTAAGCTACAACCTCTTTAATTGTTTTTTAAGTTTTTTTGCTGTAACATATAAAATCTTACAGCCTATTTTTATGGTTGTACAAACTCTTTTTTTTCTAAATCACATTATACACTTTTATTATGATTACTTAGTTAAAACTTCATAAAAAAAAAGTTTTGAGAGAAAAAAATATATATGGAAAGATTTTAAAACAAGATTGTGGCGAATCTAAGGAAAATATAAAATCAAAAGTATTATGAATTATTCTATCAATCACTAAAGTATTTTTATATTTTAAAAAAATTTACCGAAATTATTTAATTTTAAAATGATATTTTTTTTTTCAATTGTCCATTTTAAAATAATTTAGAGGTTCATTTTTATTGCATTGAAAATTACATAAAGTTTCTATAAACTCGATTATTTGTATAATTAGTACAAAATATTTTATTTTCATAAAATTAGTCGATTTAATTAAAACTATAGCACATATCTTAGATTTTAAATAATGTTTTTATTTTAAAATAGTTACAGCTACAACTTATATTTGTACAGGAAAAAAGTCTGCAGCAAAAAAATCTACAGCAAAAAAAATGTACAGCTACAGCCAAAACACTTACAGCAAAAATTCTACAGCAATTAATCTACAATTACAGCCGAACCAATCACTCACTTAATCAGATTAGATAACTTGAAATTATTTTTCTACGTACATTTCATTTCATTTAACAGCCATATCTCGCGAAGTCAATCTTTCTATGGATTTTTCATTTCAATCATACCTACACATAGGTCTGGACGCGGATCGGATATCCGAAAAAATACAGTATTTGTGATTCAATTTGTTTTTAACGGATATCTAATTTTCCGATTTATTTTGCTTCGGAAAATTTTGGATATCCGGGATTACAGTCCAGATTTTTTTTGGATATTTGCGGATATTCGGATCTTCACGGATATCTGTTTTAAACAAAAAAAAAATTAAAACACCATAATCTTTTTTCAAAACAAAAGTTTTAATATAAGATTTAAACTAATTAATGAATAAATATATTAAATGGTTCTAATTTTATTCGATAGAATTAAAAAAAATGAAAAGTAAAAAATTAAAACGGTGAAAAATAAATATATATTATTTATTTAAGAAATATATTTCAAATAAAATTAGTATTTACCTATTTTTACTATAAATATACTCGCCAAATCTATTTAAAAGTAAAAATATAAAAATATTTGTTATAAATCTACTACATAAGTAATATGCGGATCGGATCGCATATTCAAATTTTTAAAATTAGTATTTGTGATTTGTTTTGATTTAGACGGATACTAATTTTTACTATTTATTTCGATTTCATTCAAAACAGATATCCAAATTTTCTG